CCGTGCAAAAGATAACATCAACAAAAGAATCACCAATAGACACAATACCTCTGACAAGGTTCGGAGCGCGGTCTGACTGCTGCATATCCAGTGTATACACTCTCCCAACAGAAGGTGGCACTGCAGGTGCCGAAGAAGATGCCATCGGAACCATTTGCAAAGGAACTGCCTGAACAGCTGCAGCTCTCGCCGTCGACGACGGACAATCTCTAGAGAAGTGGCCCTCCTTGCCACACTTGAAGCACAACAACTGCCCCGTAGCACAGCGTCCCACATGCTCCTTCTTAGTCTTGGAGTAGATCAGAATATCATCAATGAAGACAATCACAAACTGATCCAGATACGGCTGGAAAATCCTGTTCATGTAATCCATGAACACTGCCGGCGCATTTGTGAGTCCAAACAGAATCACCAAATACTCAAAATGATCGTATCTCGAACGAAACGCGGTCTTCGGGACATCCTCCGGCTTCACCCAAATCTGATGGTATCCGGACCGGAGATCAATCTTGGAATACACACAAGCACCCCTGAGCTGATCCAACAGATCATCAATCCGAGGAAGGGGATACTTGTTCTTGATTGTCACCTTGTTCAACTGCCTGTAGTCGGTGCACAATCGCATTGTCCCGTCCTTCTTCTTCATAAAGATAACCGGTGCTCCCCAAGGAGACACACTCGGTCTAATGAAATCTTTCGCCGAAAGATCCTCAATATGCTTCTTAAGCTCAGCCAACTCCGGTGGCGACATCCGATAAGGAGCTAAAGAAATCGGCCCCACACCGGGCAACAAGTCAATGGAGAACTCTATCTCCCGCTGCGGTGGAAACTCAGGGATCTCCTCAGGAAACACCTCCAGAAACTCCCCCACCACAGAAATGCCAGTGATATCCTCCTGTGTCCCACTCACCAAACCATCCAACATGACATAACCCAATGCCCCTGCTCGCAACGCTCTCCTGGCCTGCAGCAGTGAAATGTATGGCGAGGAACTAGCTGTGGAATCACACGGAGACATCATTTCCTATTTTCTCATAATTTATTAATTAAATTCCTTAATTAACGGTGCGGGTTCTTACAATGGCGCTGGCAGATTTGGGGTCCTTATGCTCCCTAAGTCACACTCCCTTAGTGGATCAGTGTAGAGTGGAAACCAAGTGCAAAAAACATGTGTAAAACAGATTTGGGGTCCTAAACTAACAATTTAGTCGATTAACCTGTACTGGTGTCGACATACCAGGGACATCCATCATTATGGTGTCGACACTTCATCACAAATCTATGGTCATCACTTTTTGCCACAACGGCAGTACGGTGAGCCTTCATACAATATAATTTGACTGCATGTTGCATTTCAAATTTGCTACGAAACTCCTGATACAAATATAAAGGATCCCCTAATTGCCAGCCACCGTGATCATCATTGTCACCATACAATATCTCTGTCTCATCATTAGGGTGGGCCCAATTAATGAAGGAATAATGTGAGCTTTCATTCCAAAATGGCTCGACCTCAGAACCTACGGATGCATTATAATGCCACCGTCAATACCATTCATAACAAAAAAAATAATTGCTAAATTAAATCTTTAAAAAACAAATCTTACCACTGCTAACAGGGTCAACACGAAGTGGTCTCGTAACCTGCGAACCCGGGGATGGTGAGCTTGTGTCAGCGTCGAAATCACCCTCTATGTCAGTATCTGACGTGTCACCTAGCGGAATAACACTCTCAGGTTCACCGTCCTCATCGCTGTCCATATCGGCATCCTGTTCATCCTCATCTATTTCCCACAGTGTTATCTGACTTATGACAGGTGCAGGTGCAGATAAATCGACTACTCTTTCTTCATGACTAAAATACGGTTCACTTCTTGTATGCATGGGTGCAGATGAAGATTGACCACAATCTAATTCAACATATATCTCAATAAAATTTTGAAATTTTCGATCAACAATTGCATCTATGACACATTCGACATCTTCATCATCACATATATCGTTACCAATGTAGTAAATAGTATCCTTACTAACTGTAGTCTCTACCCTGGCAATCATCCGTTGAACGCATTGGCTGCCTTGCAGACCCAATTTTTGCTGAATTCTCCCCTTTAACTCATTGTATGTAGTGCTCCGTTTGATTTTCAACATTTTCGTTTTTCCTTCAAATTGAACACCATTGGGGCCTTCATAATGCTTTCCATCATAGTAGATCATTGTCACATACATGTTTGGACTTGTGCTCATCTTCCTCACGAAATTGGGACTAGGGTTCTGAAATTGGGGGTTTGGGTTCGGATTTTGGGGGTTTGGAATTGTGCAATGACAATGATTTCACAATATTAAGGCTGTAGAGATGGTGGGATGAAATACAATCGGATTGAGAGGATTACACATGAACAAAGGGAGCTATTTTGGTTTACACAACAATAACAATCGAAATGAGACCGAAAACATGAAAAATATAGGGTTTCAGTCGATTAGTCGACTAAATATCGTGCCTTAGTCGACTAAATATCCCAAAAATGTAGTCGATCAAGATGCTTTTTTAGTCGACTAAATTTGGTGTAGTCCACATTCTGAATTTTGATCATTTGCTCGACTAAAAATGCAAGGTAATCGACTAAAAGGGGCAGGTTGGTGGATAGTTCTGGATCAGGGGCAAATTGGTTATTAATTAATTAATGAGGGGCAAAAGGGTCAAAAAAACCACTAATAACCTTTAGTGTAACTTATATGCGTATAAAATGATTCTTATCCCTATGTATATATTTGTTCTCAATTTTTTAATTTGCATGTGCTATGTAGCAATTATATTTTTTAAATAAAAAGATACAATTAATGCTTTGATAAATTTCTATTAGATAAAAAATTAAAATATATACTTAATTACTTTTTAAGATTTTAATTGACAAAATTTTCATGAATACATTTTTTTATCTTTATAGTTGTTGAACATTTAAAAGTAATATATTTGATATAATTAATGAAAAAAACTAATTGGGTATATCCGATCCTTAATCAAATTAAATTAGGATAGATTATTCTACCTACTATTTTTTCTGCCTACTTTTGTCTATCACTCTCCAATATCGTTGGATTAGAATCTAAAAAGGAGAGAAAAAGATAAATGTTAATTAAAATTCTAATCCAATGGTTTTTTAAAGTGATAAGCAAAGGTAGGCAGAAAAAATAGTAGGTAAAATAACATATCCCAATTAAATTTGCCTCAGCCTTTGTTTTTAGTTGTTTTACTTTTTTATTTCAAGTTTTCAACTTTTTTCATCTTGATTAACTTTGCTAATTAGATTCGGGAAAATTTTCAATTATTCAAAACTCTTAAATTTAATTTTTATGGAATTAACTTCATACTTGATGTCCGTATAAATACACGCTTACACGCTTAAATAAAAGAAAGAGGGAACATCCTTCGTATAAATATAAAATAAACACTATGGAAAGCGTTAAAGGTTCATTGAAAATCACACACCATGATTTCTCCGTTTGCTTGGTACATTCTTAACCAAATACACATTGCAATATGATTTTTATGTGAGAGACTTCTCATGGAGGATTGAATTTGTCCCACATAGTGGCTAGCTATCAGTTGGATAAAATTTATTATTCAACTTTTAAAATGTATATATATTTCCTAAATTTGGGTGATAAATCATTTTGAAAAGCCCGTGTTAATTAGTCTCGCTTGTTTTTAAAAATGAGTTAAAGATTTTAAAATATATCGTCTTATAGTAGGTTGCTTGTTAACTCATCTATAGTAAAAAAAATAAGAAAAAAGAAAAAAAAATAAGGGAAACTAAATGAGATATTTTAAAAGAAAAATAAGATATTTTATTTAATTAAATTAAAAAAAAAAACTCAACCTGTCAAATTAATCCAACCCGCAGATCACTTTTTTTTTTTTTGAGTGAACTCAGGGTATCCTCCGACCATAATCGAAGACTAATCCTCCATCAAATTCGAGGCTTCTAATTAAGAGGCCCATGCTCCTTACCATCCGCATGCCACTTTAACCCATCCTTAAATAAGATTAATTGTGATTAATGATTTATAAAATATAATTCAATTCACCAAATTAGATGGATTATGAGAGTTGATATGATAAGTCAAACATATTTTGCCACCTCTATTGTTAACGGGGACAAATCATTTTTTTCACATGGAGCATGGAAGTACGATCCTTATATTTCTTTTTTCTTTTTTTAAAAATTTAAGGGGTTAGACACTGATATTCAGTAAACTGATGATTTCTCAACCTCTTTGAGAATTTTTGGGGAAGGTTTATATATCATCCATTAACAAAATCCTATTTTTTTAATAAAAAAACAAAATTATTAGCTTACGAGCTATTCTTGTCTTATCTGATTTCTCTATCATGTAAAAGCTTATGGCATCAAATAAAAGTGTTTATGCCATCAAATAGTTATTTCATCAGGTTGACACACACACACACACAAGTTTCACTTTCTAAAATAAAAGCTTATGCCATCAAATAAAAGTGTTTAGGAGACAAGATAAAAAGGAATATTCTTACTACCTTGAATGTTTTAGATACTATTCAGTCTCCTTCAATGGTAGTTGAAGCTAAGTTGACCCAAAGTTCCTTCTTATGCACCGGATGGTCAAAGATGTGATGGTTTTGACGGTTGATTACTGTGTCACAATGCATAACACTTACATATACATGTGAAAGAATAGTTTTACATCACATCAATCACAAGTGACTTTCAGAGTTGCTTAGCTAAATCAACATAATGGAACATAAAAGAAATGAGAATCCTATAAAACTTTTTTTGTTTTTAGTCTTAAAATGTAAGCAGAGGCAGAGCACATGAGATTCAAAGAAAACATACAAATTGAAACCAAGGAAACTTAATTTGTGAACATGGGCAAGGGAAGTATTTTAAATCATTATGAACAGAAAAATTATAATGCCATGGAAGAAAAAAAGTAAAATTGGTTCTACAAAAATCACTTAAAATCTAAGGAATGTAATCATTTTCTATCATTGGCCTTGTGCGAGTCCCCACTGCTAATGGTGCTTTGGTGCCCCCAATGGATGTCATCTGCAAGGTTTCATTGCTATCAGCTGCCCATTCCAATTGCTGTATCCTCAACCCTTTTTTGGTTCTTCTCACTCTAACAACCAATAAACTCACTATGATCAGCAACAAGCAACCACCAACCAAAGATGCAACAATTATCCACACCTTGGACTTGTTCTTTCCACCACTACCTTCATCAACAGCAGCAGCAACAGCAGCAGGTGAAGGGGATGGGGCATTGGATTCCACAACAATGGAGAAGTGCCCTTGTTGGATTGTTGAACACACATTCCCAGGTAATAGGATGTCAAATTGCACTGAACCATGCAAATCAAAATACACACACTTGGCCACTGACCCAGATGGTGCTGATTTCACATGAGGAAACTTTATCAAAATTGGATTCTCAGAAGCTCTTATATCCAATTCAGGCAACTCAGAAGCAGACAAATTGGCACCACTATAAGACAATAGACCCAAAACAGGAGCCAAATATGAGTAACCAGGCAAAGGGTAAAACTTTTCAGACCAATTGTCCAAATTGTGGTACACCAAAACAAGCCTCTCCACATAAGGTTGCTCAACAACCCCAATTGGGATCTGGAACTCTTTGTAGCTTTGAACACCTCTGGTTCTCAAACTACCACTCCTAAGCCTCAATGCTGAAACTTTAATCCCTTTTAGGTTACTGGGCACTTTAGCATCATAAGGTACCCCAGTTTTTGGCCTAAAAAATGCCTTAAAGGCACAATCTTGAAGAACAGCATCAAGGGTGCGTGATGAGATGCCAGAATCAGGTGGAGGCTGAGAACTTGAAAATGGCAGAGAAAGAAGCAATGTCAATGAGAACAATGCAAGGAAAATGGTTCCAACCCTCATCAGGATCTCATTCGTTCAGTCAAAATTAAACAAAACCCAATGAGAATCTACCAGAGAGAGAGAGAGAGAGAGAGAGAGAGAGAGACAGAGGCTAGAATGCAGTTCAGAGAGAAAAAAAGAGAGAAACTTTACAGTTTACACATCACAAAAAGACCATAAATTGTTGAGGATTCTGTTGTGTGATGCGGCTGCAGATACCAATGGCAAAAGGGAAGAAAAGATGACAGAAACTCCATTTGAAGAAAACAAAATCAGATCTTTCAAGAGCCCAGTTGCTTTGTTGTTGCTTAGCTGTGATGGGTTGATGTGAAAATCTTGAAATTATTCTCAAAGAACCAGTTTGGTTTTTGAGGTTCAAGGAAGCAGAAAACTGGTAGAAAAAAGAAAATGATGGAGAAATAGAGAGAGAGAGAGAGAGAGAGAGGAAAATGGGTTGAGAAAGAAAAGGGAGATAAACAGATTGGGAAAATATCAGCTGAAAATCAGGAGATAGAGGAGGCGGCGTTTCAAATTTGAGATTTGGGAGTGGAAGATTCACTATAATGCTAAATGCATGCACATTACTCTTCTTCTGCTGTTTTGTTTTGTGTTCTATGGGAATGGGATCCCCAATTAATGTTATTTTTTGAATTTATTTCGTTAGCCTTATAGTAACTGTTTTAATGCATTTTTATTAATCGTTATATAAAAATGTTAGCTTGATTTTAAAACTTAATAAACGAAATACCGGAAGAGTATATATATATATAAAGGAGAGTTCAATGTTGGAAACTTCGCTCATGTGTCACACCCTGCTTAATTCTGAAGATTGTGTTCACACTACATGGCATATAAAAACTTTCCTTCTTTGGTAAATTGGAAAAAGAATTTCTTTTAAAAATTGAATATTTTTTTAAATCAAAAAATAAATGACCATTTGTGGTGGCAGACAAGGCATTGAATGTCTCATTGCCCATCACATTGAAATTGGTCAACTGATTTAATTGTTTTTTATATTAGAATTTTAAAATTCGAATTTTGAAATGGAATGACTCAGCTGTTTTAACAACACACCATTAACTGCCATTTATTAATCAATCAATTTCTCATTAAAACACAATTAAAATTTAAAAGAGAAAATTATAGATTAAACAAAAAAATGTTTAAAATTATAAAAATTTAAATATAGTTGATACAAAATAATTTAAATTTGGAAATTAAATGAAAAAAAAGAAATGACATATTTATACTTTAAAAGAAAATAAATTAAAAATTTAACTTAAAAAATAATTCAAATAAAATAAAAATTCGTATGAGTATTTTTTTTTAAAGTAATATAAACGTTTTTAATTTATATGTATAACCAATTTAAAAAATATAAAATTTTAAATTAAAAGAGAAAAAACATACTTTAAAAAAAATATGTATAATTAATATAAAAGAATTTAAATTTTAAATTTTAATAAAAAATTAAAAATTTACATCTATGATTCTGTGAAAAATAAATTATTAAAATTTAATCACTATAAAAATGAATGACCAACCAGCATCTACATCACAAAAAGATATTTGCCATTAAATATTTGTACTTGATATTTATGGTGATTTAAACCACGCAAAATGGGAAAAAAAATAACAGTGAAGTGTAAAAATATTCAAACATAAAAAAAAGAAAAATTAAAGCCAACTTGGCAACACTTTAATTTGATCATAGTTGATTTGACATTTGCTTGATGAAAAAGAAGGCCACCTTCAATTGAAATTTCTATAAATAATCATGGGATAATTTATCTACTTTTAAAAATTTCCCTCTATTAGCTCATATAAATATGGGTTTTCTTTTTCTACAGTCAATGTAGATAACTTATCTACAGTGTGTCCAAAACGACGTCGTTTTGAGACAAAAAATGAAAGTATTTTTTAATTGTAATTTATTTGTAATTGTAATTGTAACTTATCTATAAATAGTCTTTTTTATTATAATTTTTAATTTTTCAACTCAAAATGACGTTGTAAAATATTTAGATTCTCATAAAATATAATGATATCAATAATAAACCATAGATTTGTTGAAGTATACCGTTTTCATGATCAACTTGCATTAGTAACTCCCACTATTTTCTCAATCGTAAATTGAAAGGCCATCTTTTAATTTTTCTACAAAATAAAAATAAAAGATAATGTAATAATTTCGTGAAGATTACGATACCATTATTTCTATGGAAAATATAATCTATTTATTATAAGCACACGCACTAAACAACGCATGGAAGGAAGTATGCGTATTGTAATAATTGCATCCTTTTACAATGATCCACGCATAGCCTAGGAAATGATGTTAATGAATGAATGAAGATAGCAATGAAAAGATAACAATTAATATGAAAATAGAAATAGGGGATTATTGTGCAAAAGCCGAAGAGATAATTCAAAATATTTGCTCAAAATTTGAAGAGGATACGAAAAATAAAAAAGCGATAGAGAAATTGGCTAAGACCAAATGTATACGTATATAGCCTAACTTGACTTATTAATAATAATATTTATATAAATTAATAGAATATATATATATATATATATATATATATATATATATATATATATATATATATATATATATATATGCACACACACACTAAGATAGTGTTCTTCCCAAAAGTTTTTAGGAGATAGCCACTATCAAATAAAATAAAAGGGGAAATGCACATTTACTCTCCATTTCGATTTTCTTCTCATTCCTTGAAAGTTGAAATCATAGAGGAACAAGATTTTTAATGCTAATTCTTCTGTGTATTTCCTATCTCTTTTGAAATTCGAATTCTGAATTGATTTCATATTTTGGATTTCAATTTTAAATTTCAAATTGTAATGTTGGGAAAGGATTTGAAAATAAAAAATTAAATAAATAATAATTTCTTTTAAAAATAAAAATAAAAAATTAATAGAAAACTAAGTTAGTCATTTATGGTGGCAGACAACTCATTCAATGTCCCACTTATTTGTACATTGGAATTACTCAGTTCTTTTAAATGTTTTTTACATTGTAATTGCTCACTCTTTTAAAATTCGAATTCTAAATTGATTTCAAATTTTGGATTTCAATTTTAAATTTCAAATTGAAATGGTGGGAAAGGATTTGGAAATAAAAAATTAAATAAATATAAAAAATTGTAATGGTGGGAAAGGATTTAAACTCTTCTAAATTTGCAATTTATGTATAAATTTGAATTTTTAACTTTGTAATGATGGGAAAACTTTTAGAAAATTTTGTGTGGCAGACAACTAATTTAATGTCTCGCTACTTTTCTTTTGTTGTATATTATGAGTAAAAAGACCTCTACTTTTCTTTTGTTGTATATCCCATTATTTTTTGCATGGATAATTGTTAGCCCTATTAATGCTGCATAAAAAAACAAAAACATTAAAAAAATTGTAAAATAACAAAATTATTTATATTGTAAAATAAATTCGAAATTTGGAAATAAATTAAATGAAAAATTATGTGAACATGATATGTGGGAAAAGAGTTCAACATTTAATATTTATGCATTGAAAAAAGATATATACAATAAATTTGAATTTAATATAAAATTATAGATTAAACACTAAAATATTTAAAATTATAAAAATACATTTATAGTCGATAAAAATTAATTAAAATTTCGAATTTAAAAGAAAAAAAAAAAGAAATGGCATAATTTATACTTTACTAAAACTAAATTAAAATTGTAACATAAAATTTTTAAATATACATGAATAACCAATTAAAATAATATACATGTATTTTTTTTAAAAATTATTTAACATAGAAATTTTAAATATACATGTATAACCAATTAAAAATATATATAAAAATCATAAATTAAAATAGAAAACAATTATATAAAAAATATGTAAAATTAATATAAAAATTTTCAATTTTTAAATTTAAATAAAAAATGACGTCTGTCATTCTGTAAATTTTTTTTTAAAATTTAAGAACTATAGAAATGAAAATTTTAATTTAGTACATAAGAAAGAAATCAAACTTTCATTTTTTTATTGAAATAGTGTAATTAACACAAATACTTGTAAAAAATAATTATTTATATAAAATGCTGACAGTTAGAGGTGAAAAATTGGGCTGGGCCTGGAGGGCCAGCCCGTCAATATATTTTTATAATTCAATTAAAATTTTATTTTTTTCTTTTATAATTAAATTACTAAATCTGATTTCAGTTTTTATAAATATAAATTTGGGAAATTCCAAAGACTAATGACACTAATCCTTGCAAAAAAAATTATTTATATAATATGTTGACAGTTAGAGGTGAAAATCTGGGCTCGGCCCGGAGGGCCGGCCTGCTAATATATTTTTATAATTCAACTGAAATTTTATCCTTCTTCTTTTATAATTAAATTACTAAATCTGATTTCAATTTTTGTAAATACAAATTTGTGAAATTTCAAAGACTAACGACACTAATCCTTGCAAAAAAAATTATTTATATAAAATGCTAACAGTTAGAGGTGGAAAACTGGGCTCGACCCGCAGGGCCGGCCCGCTAATATATTTTTATAATCCAACTAAAATTTTATTCTTCTTTTTTTAAAATTAATTACTAAATCTGATTTCAATTTTTGTAAATATAAATTTGTGAGATTTCAAAGACTAACGACACAAATTCTTGCAAAAAAATAATTATTTATTATTATTTTATAAATCTGATTGTAGTAAATGAAAGTTCATCTCTGAGATAAAATATAAAAACCTAGACGCAACTATAAAAGTCTTTTTTTGTGGATAAATATAAAAATCTTTTACATGCTGATAGTTAGAGGTGGCAAACTGGACTTGGCCCGGAAAGCCGGCCCACAAACACAGTTTTATAATTAAATTAAAATTTCATCCTTCTTCTTTTATAATTAAATTTCTAAATCTGATTTTTATTTTTGTAATTACAAATTTGTAAAATTCCAAATACTAAAGACACAAATTCTTGCAAATAATAATAATTTATTATTATTTTTTAAATGTGATTGCAATAAATGAAGGTCTATCTCAAAGATTAGTGTAGTTGCTTTATTTTGTTCATATGCATTTGTTGCAATGTAAGCAAAAAATATGACTTATACATGTTTATTTGATTAAGTTGCATTCAAATCTCGTTCAGACAACATTTTTTTTTGTCCTTAAAAAAATTTAATCCAATCTTTTTTTTTTGCTGATACTATGACTTTTGGGTGTTAACATATTAGTGTTACTTATTTAATAAGTTTTTGCCTTCTGTATCGTAGGCACAAGGAACGAAAATCACACAAGAAATGACATATTTAGTAAGTGTTGAACTCATCCCTCCAATGATTGCTAAGAAATGACACTGAATGAATAGCGTTTTCATATTATAGGTAAAAGCTGATATTTTAAATCCATATTTGCTTGGTGTTATTGTTACCTTGATTTTGTTGATGAATGTTATAGTTAGCAATGATTTGTACGCATTTTTCTTTTTATATCCCTTTCTCATGTTAGCATGGTGTATTACAACGTATTATGGTGTATTATAATGTAGTTGTATGCAAAATTAATTATCCCTCTGAATAACAGATTTTTGTTTGTGGTTGATATTTGCAAAGCTCTGTGTCAATGTTGTAATTTCACCTGAAATATAGAACAAAATAACAACACAGTTTTTTGTAAACATAAGGTTTGCAGTGCGATTAACCAACTACGACGGACGAAAAAAATTTTGATCTTTTTTCTCCGTGCATCGCACGGGTAATATATTAGTTTAAATTCTAAAGGAAAGAAAGGTACGAGATTGAAGAACGTATCCATTCAATTTTTTTTTTGAAAGTTTTGCAATTTTTTTTTTTATACTACTTTGTTTTCTGCTAATTAGAAAAGATATCAAGTTTTAGGAGGATGAAATATTTATCTAAAATTATGTGATTTAGATTTTCTTAAGATTGGTAAGTTAAATTTTATGAAAAGAATAATAATCATTATTGAATCCTTCAACAAAAAGTGGGGGGGGGGGGGGGGGGGGGGGGGACATTGCAAATTTGGAGTCAAATCAAGGAGGTACGAAGCATGTGCACATACATTTATAGAGGTGGAATGTGCGGCTAAAGCACCATTTTAAAGTTTTTGGACAAAAGAATTGCCCGGTTAAAGCTGATTGCATAATTTTTTCCGAAGTAATGCAGTCAAACATGTCACCTATGCTGACGGGACTAGTCCCGTCACTGATACTGACGGGACTCGTGCCACGTCAGCGCCACGTAAGCAGTCCAATTACCGTAAATTTTCGGAAGACCATAACTTGTGATTCGGGTATCCAAATCAGATGATTTTTTTTTTGATTTCACATAACTTTTCAAGATCTACGCAATGACACCTCATTTGATATATTTTATCTCCCACAAACATAGTCTTATGGATAAACACTCTTGTGATTGTGATACAATTGTTACAAATTCAAACTATGTTTGTAGGAGATAAAATATGTCAAACGAGGTATCATTGCGTAGATCTCGAAAAATTATGTGAAATCAAAAAAAAAATCATCTGATTTGAATACCCGAGTCACAAGTTATGGTCTTCCGAAGATTTACGGTAATTGGATTGCTTACGTGGCGCTGACGTGGCACGAGTCCCGTCAGTATCAGTGACGGGACTAGTCCCGTCAGCATAGGTGACATATTTGACTGCATTACTTTGAAAAAACTTATGCAATCAGCTTTAACCGGGCAATTCTTTTGTCCAAAAACTTCAAAATGATGCTTTTCCCTGGAATGTGCTGTTAATTGCAAATGTAATTTAATAGTCTGCAGATATTTGTCAATGCCGCAACTACCTACCTAAACAGGTAAGAAAGGGAGTGACAAAGTTAAGCCTCGTGTTTAGACTGCCTCAGGTTGGGAAAAAATTTAGATATGTGGATGCAGAAATTTTCTCTGGATTTTTCACTCATGATATATGTTTTATTTTTTTATCAAATTATTCTCTTATTTAATTTTAAAATAAATTATTTATTAATAATTTGGTGAAAATAAAATAAATGTCATATTATGAGTGAAAGATGTACATGTAAAGAATTTTGGGATACACCACCCCAAAAGTTAGCTCAAATGGTGGGAGTGCCCAAGGTCTTATAAAGGCCACATTAGTTGCTCACACAACCAATGTGGGACTATATATCTCAACACGCCCCCTCACACGAGAGCCATTGGGCTTGAAGCGTGGATTATGCACAGGCCCAATTTTTGGTTTATCTTTTTTGTGTTTTTTATTTTTAAATCCACCTTACAGTGGGGGCCGTGAGGATCGAACTCGTGAACTTATGGTCAAATAGCATGTAAAGAACCTTAGTATACACCACTCTAAAAGCTAGCTCAAATAGTGAGAGTGTCCAAGGCCACATTAGTTGCCCACACAATCAATGTGAGACTATATATCTCAACATTACAAAAAAAACTTGGTGCATTCACAGTTTATCAAGTTATGGCATTACTCCCTCATGTTATCAATTGATGTGTTTATCATAGATAAATCAATTTACAATTTAAATTTTAAAGGGCAGAAAGTTTTCGTAAACCTGTCATGCAGCAACAGTGCTACTCCTCCGCGAAATTGTTTTTCCTTTTTTCGATTATCCAAACATTGCTGGTTGTACATCTTTGTGAATATTCAAAACTTCAGGTTGACAAGGAATTGTTTTAGAAAATGCAGTACTACAAGATTGCCAGTTTGCGACACATGACCAAGCACGAGATATAGTTCTCAATCTCGAGAGACTATTAAAAAAAGTTCATTTAATCTCATGTTGAAGGAGAGATCTTCTCTCATGTTGTGACACATATGTGGTGGGACCAGCCATTTAAAGAAAAAAGAAAAAAAGAAAAATGAATGTCACGATTTTCGATGAGTGTGTAGGAGATAAAACTGTTCTTATGCAACATAAGAATAGTTTTTCCCTTAAAAAAATAGGAGAAAATAATTCTCAATAGCCTTAGAGTGGCGTAAAAAATCTTTAATGATCTCCGTCTTTTAGTGCTCATCCCGTCCTTAAATTTTTATTTCAAACACCATACTTAAATGACATAACTCTAAAATTAATTATCAAAATATTTAAAGAAAAATTATATTTACAATCTTTTTTTACTTACAATTAAATTTTAACTGTTGTTTTTTGTCAATTTGACAGTTATAATTTATTAAGTTATATTTATTAATTAATTATTAATTCTCAATAAATTATAACCGTTAAATTAAAAGAAATCAACAGTTAAAATTTAATTATAAAAGGTTGTAAGCAAAAAGAGATTATAAATATGGCGAATGATATACTTACCCCAAACAAGTTTATCATCTTTACAACTAACCTACCTACCATTGATTTCCGTCAATCTAACGGTTATAATTTCTTCGAAATTATTGGGTCGCATTTATTAATTAATTATTAATTTCCAATAAATCTAAGAAATTATAATCGTTAGATTGACGAAAATCAACGGTGATTAGGTTGGTTGTAAAGGTGATAAACTTTTTTAACGGTAAGTATATCTCGCCCCTATAAATATAACCTTTCTTAAAGATTTATTGGGGAGGGTTATATTTACCACTAGTTAAACTTACCACACTTACAACCAATCTAATCACCGTTAGATTAGAATTAAATCTAACGGTGATTAATTATCTCTTATAATCTTAATTTTTTCTCTCATGTCCCCTCCTCTCTGTCTGCCTCTCTCTCTAGATTTCCATCCCCTCTTTGTCTCTCTGTAATTTTTTTTTTTTTAGGGTAAACAAAAGGGGCCATGCTCCCAAAAACAGAAAGAAGAAATAAACTAATCTGGTGCAGTAGCCCAGATCTGAGCAGAAGACCCCTCCAAATCAGTGAACTGAGTAATAAAAAAAAAATTAAAAAGATTAACGAATGACTTAACGAATTTTTCATTGTCTTAGACAAACCCAAATCATTGCAGTATACTCTTAATCTTCTTAGGATCCAAAGACATTCTCAGTTTGAATATTATATTGCCCAAGTATCCGAATCATTTCTCCTTCAGGGTGTTGGAAGCCTTTACCACAAATGTTTTAGAGTTTTTATTTTTATATATATACTCATCCATTATCCTTCCTTGCTTATGGCCAGGCTCTCATATATGGAGATCGATCTCTAAATTGTTGAATCAAAGCTCCAAATCTAGAGAGAGAAAGAGCAAACAAAGAGGGGAAAGAAATCTAGAGAGAGAAAGAGCAAACAAAGAGGGAAAATAAATCTAGAGAGAGAGGCAGACAAAGAAGGGATATGAGAGAAAAATTTAAAATTATAAGAGGTGACTAATCACCGTTAAATTTAATTATGATCTCATGGTAATTAAATTGGTTATAAGGGTGATAAATTTAACTGATGGTAAATATAACCTCCCCATATTTATTAGCTATAAAATTTTACAACTAGTTGTTTAGGCAAGAATACACGCAATTATATCTGAAAACAATAAATATTTAAAAAACCATCAATGAATAAATAAATAAATAAAAAGTAACTTAATAAGGAAAAAGTTTATTTAAACTAAATTTATTTTCAAAGAAAATAAGAATATATCTACCACTGAATTCTGATAGATTAAAATTAAATCAAATGATACATAAACCCTTATATACTCACTTTAAAAATGTTTATTTTAGAAAAGTCTTCCCTCCGTAAAGTACCATAACTCCTTCAATATTAGGAAGCTGATCCATGTAAAAAGGAACACCAACAGTCTATCACATTGGCAGTCCATGAAAAAGAAGAAAGTTGTAGAATAACCACAACCCTGTGATCACAAAATATCAGTACAAAATAGGAGAGAAACAAATATTTATCACTCAAGTACTGAATGCACTTGAGGAGATTGTCTACTCATGTTTCACTGTAACACACCAAAATAATGAATTGGATTTGTAGAAAAACACTGCTTTGATATACAGGTACTTTTTTCAGCAAATATAGCTATACAGACACTTGCTGATTTAGGTTACATATCCTGATATAATGAGAAACTAAAAAAACTTAAGTTACACAAGGTACAAAAGACACCAAGGTAATGTCACCCACGATAATTAAACGAGCAACGTATAAATAATAACAAATCAAAAAAGCATCAAAAAAGGCGGTGCATCACCAGTGTAACAGAAAAATTGCATGTCATTTCGCATCCTTTCCTGTGATAGATGAGATACTTCTTGTCACTTCAGAACTCTTTGAATCCTTTACAGTCGCATCAGAACTCTTTGCATCCTTTCCAGAGATGGAAGATGAGACGCCTCTTGCAAATTCTGAACTCATACCAAGGTTGGTGTCTGGAGGCAATGATAGGGATGATGCAGATGGAGTAATAGAATCCAGGGACATATTAGCCACTGGGGGGAAGTTAAGAGGGTTAACTTCAGTGACTTCCTCATTGTTCTCGTCTAGGTAGACAACATCCTGCATTGTAAGCTGATGATATTCAACGACCTCCCTTAAAAAGCGATTCTCACGGGCGTAAACTGAGTTCTCACGGGCCAAGCGAGCTTTTTCAGCCAGAAGAGTTTCAAGTTGAAGTCGTATCTGTAATTGAAATTGTATCGTTAAAAATATATAAGAAATTGGTGAAATGAGAATACATCAGCATATTTTCCATAACGGCACAATGTGAGTTAAAATCTGAATAATCAAATAAATCGAATTAAATATGTAGGGAAAAACTTAAATTCGATCAATCTAAATTTGGGTACGGTTTCTTGATTCCCTATTTTAAATGTATTCGCAGAGAAAGCAAAGGGGTAAAAGTGTTGTTTTGAAAAGAAAAAAAAATTACAGTAGAGAGAAAAGAGGGAAAGAATTTGGGCAGGATAACATAGGAAGGATATCCACATGCACTAGTGGAAGTCTTTAGAAACTCAGTTTAATAACTTTTTGTAGAATATAAACTTTACCAATCCAACTGTTGATATGACTGATAATCAAGCATATGAAATCAAAGATAAACTAAAACTTATCTAATAGTCGAAATTTACTTATATTTTAAAAAACAGATTATACGTTACAATAAAGTAGTTCAATGAAGTATTAACTAGTTTTTAAATATATGAAATTTTATAAATCATGAGAACTTTCAACCTAATGATTGGATTGAATAAATTCAATGCCCAATTTATCTAAAATTTAGAGTGCATGAAAACCAAGATAACATCGCATGATTTGGGTCAAGATTTTAAAAACAAACCACCCAAGTTAGGTGGTGGGTGGTATTTTTGGGTCGGGATTTCAGCCACCACAAACCAAATTTTATCTCAATTTTTTTGGTGAAAAAAGTTAAGATTAGGGAAAGACATGCCCCCATGTAAGGTCAGAGAAAACCACCAATCTCATCGAGGGTTTACAGGTTTCCTACGAATATGACATCATAGACTACGCTATCACGGTTGGCTCAAAATGGCATGGGCAAGGTTGAGCTATTTATGATACATGTTGACCATTTATTAAAAACAAACCTGTTGGGTTGATGGGTTCAGACACTTCAATGGGCCAACAAAGAATTAATTTAAAATTATAAAATAATACCATTCTTTTAGGAGTGGATCCTCTCATATGTTATTTAACATGACCATGTCATGTGGAAGAATCCTAACCATACAAAAGTGAATCAATGGTGATGATTTTGTAACTACCTATTCCAATATTTTTTCTTTCTCTTCCCTTATTACTATTGATTCACCTTTATACGGTTAAGATTCTTCCACATGATATGATCATGTTAAATAACACATGAGAGGATCTATTCCCCATTCTTTTTACTTAAGCAAGCTACCATGCTTGATTGATGCATGTAACCAACCCAACCTAGCGGAATAAGTCTTGGTTGTTATTGTTGTAACTTGTAAGTAAGCTAGCCTGCAGACCAACCAGCATAGTCCTACTCCAACTAAGTTTAAATGGGCTGGAATAAAAAATTTGCCATCAAACAGGCTGCTAACTCAAGAACATAATTCATTTTTTTTTTTTTAGAGTACTAAACATTGTGGTTGGGGGCTCTTGGCCTGTTTTGATGGCATGTTATTAAGAAAATTTGGGGTAAAGCTCAATTATAATAATCATAAAGAACTAAAACTCAGGAGTCAAACAAAGGAAAGAAAAATCAAGACACCCATTTGCACAAAGTTAAATCTTCGAAACTACACAAATATAGGTTAATGAACGAAGATAATATGTTAAGATGAGTGCAGCGAAACAAATAATGCATATCATACAACAATGGGTGGAGCTAGAAATTTGGTTTAGGGAGGCCAAACCAAACATATATAACATGAAAGGGGGAGGACGATCAAGTAAAAATTCATTTCATCTTATGGGGTCATCAACTAAATATATGGATAGGTACATGTAAAATATTACAAACTTTACCATGGAATACCCATGAACCCCCGTGAACCCACCTCACATTATATTTTTAGCTTTTATACAAAATAAGTGCCGCAAAATCCATGCATAGAAATGACTAACTCATGTCTGACACCAGTTCTCTCAGGCTCCAAATTATGTATTGCAAGTAATTGGGTTCCAGACACTGTGTACAATGTCAAAGCTTGTAACATCTTAACAGTTGAAACATAAAAAATTATTTAGGGTTCAAGTCAAGCTCAAGCTTTAAAAAGAATCAAATTCAAATATTAGATATTCAATCTTGCTCAGTTACATACATACATTACAGTCCCACCCAACTCTTACTGAAAGGGACATTTTGTTTTGATGCTTTTTGTTCTTCCTACCTAAACATTATACCATTCACATGATTTATACATGTTTTGATTCAAGGACCCCCCAACACATACACTGCAGGCACAGGTTGGGCATAAATCCAAACAAAAAATTAAATACCCAATTTTAATTTGGTGTACAGATACCAATTCCTTCCCTTCTTTTTACAGTTCACAAAACTTGAAGTTAAGCTGGCAAATAGGTCAAGCCAATAACCATCCAAGAATACTTCTAAATTAGTGACAAAAAATGACTACTGAAAAAGAAGCAGTTTGCTTTGTTATTAAAGTAGCATTCTAGGTTATATGTTTAAACCCCTGAATGTATAGCATAAATATAGCCACCCAATGCACAATGCTCCCACTATTATGGGTTCAAAGTGGATTAATTACAAACAGCTTTACCCTCATGAGCAAAGAGTTTGGAGAGTTGGTAAGAAGCACCATATTCATAAAAGGCATACTATAATCAGTAACCAAAGCAAAAGTAACTGCTGATTCTACTTGCAAAATGGGAGTTTGGGGAGGAGAGGGGCATGTATATAACAGAGAGATAAAATAAGTGAAACAAACATCAGATGATCACCTTCTTTATGTCACTAGAAGATTCAGAAAAGGGGAAATAATGAAATTAAAAGATGAAAAAAAAAAGGAGAAATGCATACCAAATCATCATCATCATGGCTGTCTCCTCTTTCACGATTCTCACGGAGGATTTTATTTTCTTCCTCTAGTTGAGCACATCGATCCTTTGCAAAAGCCAGATCAGCTTTGACAGTCTTCAGCTCCCGAAGAAGCAGTTTTGCTTTGGCAGCCATTGCCATTGCAACCTGTGAGAAAAACCAAAAGGCAAACAATGCATCCCGCTGAGAAGATTAAGAAATATCATAAAAGCTCATATCTTATGATGATATCAACCTGGCACCATGCTTGGAATGATTTATCATAAAGATTCATATTTTCTTATTACAAAACAAATTCACTAGAAATCAACTTTTTTCATTGGGTTGGTGTGGGGGTAGGGGGGAGGCGGGTTATATAAACCAAGAATATTATTGACGATCCTTTACCTTAAAATAAAAAATACTAAAGCAAATGCATAAAAATAATCCAGGATTATTTAAAGAATCCAAAAAATGCTATATAAGGCTAAAGTAAAAATGAGTTGAGAGAAACCAGAAAAGGAACACCAAAATATTAGTTTAGCAATACTCTTGCTTTAGCCTTCCTTGATTTCCATAAGATGAATGATGAATCAAGGAATATTACGGCCCTGTGCAAGCTTTAGGGACCCAAAGTTTTTTACAAATGATTATAGTTTTGACAATTAATTTTGTGGGTGATGGAATTAGTAATTATAAGGTGGAAAGATGGCTGCATTTAAGATATACATTCAATGGAACCTAAGGGCAGAAGCAACATTAAGGAATTTGATTATCTATGTTAAAAGCTAACACGCATTTCTACTTTAGATGGGGGAAAATTACACTATATTATCAAGAAAAAGAGGTTACAATGCTACTTTATGATTGCGATCAGATACATGCAAATAATTACAGTATATTATCAGAGAAATAAGAGTCACACTTTTCTAACTGGACAACTGCATATTCTACTTTTAAAGGAAAAATAAGAAAAAATACAAGATACTAATATAAATAAGGGAATTGGATTTTTTTTTCCTTTTTAAGCAAATGAAAGTAGCAAATAATTATACCACACATCTACGAAGCACTGTTGCCTAAGTGTTTCCATATGTTAGACATGATCACTCAACACATCTGATTTATAATTTTAGAAATTAAAAAGATAAAAAGAATTTCACTGTTTAACACTTAAATACTTTCTAAACATGTTTTAAACACACACATATGCACTCACACACACATAATGTGTAAATAAATATAGTTTTAACAAACATGTATACTTTTTCAGGTACTTATGTTTCAGATTTTTATGTGTGATTGTTTCTGTATCATATCAATTGTATCTTGTACCCCGTATCCATGTGTTTGCTTCATAGCTGAAGTTGATTTCCATGAATCCTAATATAGAAGCTTTGATAAATGAACCCACTCAAAATTGCCTAACTTTAATCAAATCTCAATTCTTGGATCTACTGAATCTGATAACAAAAGATATTTAGAGAACAAACAAATACAAGTATATTTTAGTAAAAACACAAGGAAAAAATAAAAGGGAGATAAAATATAAAAACAAACAACTTGGAGCTAGAATGTTGACTTTTGATGCAGCACTACTTAACCACAAAATTACTTTTATCACATTAAAAAGTGATACACAGTTGCCACCTTACGTCGCGGGATGCCTTCAGTTGAAGTTCTTGGTCTGTTTGATTTGATGATATCTGGGTCCTCAATTGGGATTGTTGCAATGTAGTAGAATGGTTTGTCTCTTGATTCTGTCCAACAGAGTTACCAGGCTTTTTCCTGATATGTTTACGAGTTTCCTGAATAATATCTGAAGTCCGATTCTCAACAATTGTAAAACCCTCCTACAAATGTGAATTAGGATGGGTCTAATAAGATCACAAAACATATTCTTTCTTTTTTTTTGTGGGGGGGGGGGGGGGGGGGGAGAAATTTGCACTTGCAGCTTAATAAAAATAGAGGATTTGGATTCTCATGTTCTTTCTCCATGTTATGATAGAGAAAGACACAAAAACATCTACTGTATGACCCATCATTATTTCTGTAGGATCCATTAAACTTGCTTTTATGTCTTTCTCTATCATAACATGAGAGGGTACAAAACCCACAGCCTATTATAATGCATTCCCATCCCTATCTACATAAGCCTAAGCCCAAAAGGCAAAAATGCATAAGTAAAAAATCTTAAATACAAATAAAAAGATGCATATTCCATCCCGACCACAACTAAAAGAATGAAAATATAGATCTTAAACATTTTCAAAGATTGATGACACTCGTGAAGTAAAGATATCCACATTTTATAATTACATTACAGAGAAAGATAATAAATTAGCAAAAATGTTCATATCAAAAGCTCACCTCCAAAGATTTACCAATGGTGCCGCCAATTTGAGTAAGAGAAGATGTTATAGCATCAAATCCCTTCATAAATGTCGGATTTTCCCTTTTGAGATTGCTCTCCTCTAAGTGATTCGAATTTTGGAACTACACAGAGTGACAACATCTTCCAATTTTACAATTCAAAAAATAATAAGTGGCAGATTACTAGTCAAATGAATTATTATGACATTAATTCAATTCATAAAACATGAAGTGCATAAGGTGTACATGGCTCCTATTTGGTGTTCTGCTAATAGCTAATTCAGCAAGAGTAGCCTTTTCAAATATGGATACATATGGGGCAATTTTGATGCATTTTATAATCCTTGTATTGTGATGTACTTTGAAGGATTCTGTTAAGACCTATTTGCAAGGTATGGGACTTGGAGTCCCATATTGGTTGTATGAGCAACTAATGTGGGGTTTATAAGGCCTTGGGCACTCCTACCCTTTGAGCTAGCTTTTGGGTGGTGCACCTCAAGGTTCTTATCAGATTCTTTATCCTCCTTTTATTTGCACTTCACCTTCGTTCTTTGTATCTGATAAACCTTCTATTTCTATTGAAAAATATAAAGAAATAGATAGATAAAGTGCAGATAGTCTAGTTGACTAACCTTGAACATTCTAAATAATTACAACATTTTTGTGCAGATGTGCATCCCTTCCAAAATGCAAGGCACCTTTTTTGTTAACAACTAAAACTACAAATTTTACTAGAAGATGATGATTGACAGTGACTGACCCAGATGAGCCTTCTAAAATCTTGACCGCATAAAAATTGAGTTACAAATCATATCAAACTTTATTTTTATTTGTTTTGGGGGCATAACATACAAAGCAACATCCTTGCTGAGGACTTCAGATGTAATTCTAAACTCACCCTGCCCCTAGACGCTACACCAGGCAATTGTGATCTCGTCATTCCAGGCATTTCAGATTGCTGGCTTACATTATCATCCTCAATAATTGACTTTGCTTTTCTGGCCAGAACACCCCAAAATCCATTCTTGGACTCATTCAGGCTCTTCATAGATGTATATTCATAGGCTTGTGAATCCTATATTCACAATCATCGCGCATGCTTAGCAAAACGAGACTACCATTTTGAATCAACAGAATGATACATTCAGCACGATCCAAAGAATATAAATTCAAGGGACACAGAAAGAAAATTAAGCATAAGTTAGACATGCATTTCCAATCTTTAATGCGTTCATATTGCATTAGTTTTAGGTTTAGTGCCCACAATTTAACAGCTAGATCTTACAAATATTTCATCTAGTCTTTTAGTATTAGAAATTTGGAGCTGGAATCATGTGGAGATCAAAAATTAAAGTAGTAGATTTGACATGTGGGCTAATATCTAATAAAAGAGTTCACCAAACGAGAGAGAGAAATACAGAATAAGAGGTAAAGCATCCTCAGAAAAATACAGATATATACAAAAACACTGTGCTCCTAAAGGCCAGATGTAGCTGATATGAAGGTCTTCTAAGGATTTGGAGGTGACAGTTTATATACACTAGATTTTGACTAATTCCGTTAAAATTGATGTGATTGTCATGTAGCACAAATTGCAAGTGCAACGTGAAACATAACATCGCGTATGATACACAGGGGCAAAATGAACCTTGTAAGGGCTTTCATCGGCTCTGTGCCACATACAATTGAGCAGGCAACAGAGTGCCATTAGCAACTATCGCCAAGGTACTGTATACATATAGTTCTGATCATTTAGAGCATTTGGTTTGAGCAGAATGTGAGAAATCTTATCCAGCAATTTTTTAAGCTTCACTGGGATAGGAATAGTTTTCCACTTTTCAGGGCTTAGTGCTAGGGATTTTTTAAGGAGGTTTCTTTGACATATTTACAGAGCGATTGAGGAGCTCTTTCAAACTAAAGTTTTCTATTTCCCTCTCTCTCTATGTGTCCTTTGTGTCTTCAGCTTTTAGGAGGGTCCCTATGTTGCTAATGCTCCAGCTCTGTATTTTTCTAATTTTCTTCTCTCTTAACAATTCATATATCAACAAGAAGACCTAAAAATAAATAAATAAATAAATCCTATCCTACAGAAAAATCACAAGCAATAAGCTCGAATTAAATACAAATTTGGGAATGTATACATGAAAAGGCATAATTACACTCTACACCATTGAATATCACGTTGTAGAAAAACAGGAAAAGACAAAAATCATAGAGAGAGAGAGACCTACCTTGGAGGAGGGAGGAGCAGTTGGAGTTGGTTGAGCACGAGAAATCGGAGAGGCATTGGAGAGATTGGAGTGACCGTAGAGAGAGGAGAGAGAAGAGTCGCGGCGCGCCGACGAAGCCCTGATGGCTTTGGCTGCAAGCGAAGACGAAGACGTAGACGAAGCCGAAGCCGAAGAGAACGAAGCATCAATATCATTTGGCGAAGAAGAAGAAGAAGGTGGAACGGGGTTAGGGTTCCGAGTTGCTTCGTCTTCGAAGGTTGAAGAAAAAGAAGAAGGCTGTCTCCTTCTATACGCCATCGTATCAACCTTCGATTTTTCTGAATCGAATTCGAATCCCTAAAAACACCAAAAACGAACGGAAGTGGCACCAGCAGCACCACCACCGTCACCACCGTTTAGATCCTTCGAGAATCTTCCTCTCTGTTGCTGCAGCTGCTGCTTCCTTCATCAAATCCGGATCCGATCATGAA